TAAATCGATTTTCATAAATTTCATGTAAATTAACTTCCATTATTTTTGTCGGAATAATATTTCTTATAAAAACTAAGTTATGATTCAAAAGAACTGCAGCAAATTGTGTTAAATTCATTAAACAATAAATTGTTTGAATTTCAAAGGTTAATTCAACAATTTGAAATTGTTTGATTCTATTTTATTCATTTATTTAGTCGCTTTTTATTCCCTTTTTATTAAAATAAATATCAGCCTTCTGAAGATGTCTAGCAATGAACTTCTGATAATGAAACCGATGGTGAGATTCTAGAAGGGATTTTCTCGGGAAAGGAATAAGATAAATCAATTACTATTATTGTTACTATAACCGTCGTTTTCTGCAGCTATCCTTTAATCCGTATAGAATTTTCACGCGTCCGTTAAAACATATATTAAGTTAATTTAAATTGTTAAATTAGTAAAAAATCTCATAATTTTATTTGAGCTTAAAATGACATCATCGAAACGTAAAGTTGAAGTGCACGAACAATTCCCAAGCACAACCTCGCAGTGTGCAATTGAAGCCGGAAGTGTTCATATCGAGGTAAATATCAATAAATATTCAAGTCCATCCTAAACATATATGACAAGGATTGAGGTGAGATAATATAGTAATGTACATGAATTGAATTTGCAGAATGCAACATTTGTGGATGTGAAGAAGGTAGCTAATGAAGGCAACATGTGGATGCAAGCTGAATCGCCTACTGCAACTACAGAACTGCAAACTGCTGGACAAATGAGAAGGAAAAAGATGAGAGGTGGAAGTGCGATAGAAGCTGTTGCAAAGGCGTTGATGAAACGAACTGAAAATGAAATGAAAATTTCCGCCAGAGGCAATAATACTTGTAAGGGTACGTTTTTTTTGTAGCAATTGCTGTTATGGGAATATATCTAAATAGGAAGGCGGCAGTTGATTACGGTAGGGAAGACGCCAGTTAGTTACGGTAACGAATTTTAGCGGAGTAAAAAAAATCCGGTGGAACGAATCGAAACATGAATGAAATTTTGTAATATCACAAAATCACATTATCAATTTCGATACCTTGAATTTAACACTCAGAAAATTGACATATTTCCAGTGAATGAAGAATTCGGTACGGTGGCAGTTGGAAACGGATCGGGTCGAAATAAACGGAAGACAAATTACATTAGGCGTATTATCCGTAAGCAATCGATACTTTTTTAGAAGCATTTTTCAGGCAAATGCAAATTTTTTTAGAAAGATGTACATTCTTTGCAAGAGAGAGTACATTTAGAAAACGACATCGAGCAAAGTGGGAGTAAAACGGAAAATACTGTGCAACTATTCTTTCATGAAACCGAAGAAGAGCCTGTTGATTTAAGTAACAGAAATGGACAAGGTAATCTATTGGACAAGCAGCCTGATCAGGTGATATCAGGTGAACAGCATTGTAAGGAAAGGTCCAGGAAACGAAACGGTAAGGAGGTCAACAATTCCGGAAATGGTGAGGATTTGATAATCTGCTTGTAGTACTTTCCATCTTTCCGTTTCCTATCCTCTTCAATTAGATTCAAAGATTTGAAATCATTACTTCAGCTTCATCAAGTGTTAAACGAAAGCGTACCGAATCAAAATCAACAAACTACGACAATAGACCATTCTCGACATTTACACCAGCCGAGCAAAAAAAACTTTGGCACAATTCTTCATTTATTTATGAAGGATCCACATTTTCAAGGTTTTTGCTTACTTTTATAATAAACATATAACTCTAATGGTAATGCCAGAAAAAAAGACATTGCAATACTAGTATCGTCATCAATATGATTCATTGCTTTCTTTCCAGTTATGAGCAATTCCAAGAATGTTTTGAAGCTTACAAGAGGACAGGGAATTATCCGTATAGAACAGCTAGTTCCGAGATTCTCCGGGATGGCGAAGGACGAATGATCGATCGCTTTAAATATAAGTATGTAGTGTTTCACTGTGCACATTATGGTATTCCACGTAGAAGAGGTAATTGTTTGACTTTTTTTCCTTCATTCTCCGTAATAACTTCTCAAAAACGAAAACTACATTTCACACTATGAATTCAGTCATTTGCTTGGGTTCTGATATCTTACATTGAAATGATAACATATGCATGTCTTAGTATTATACTCTTCAAGACAGCTTAACACCTTTTAATAATGTCATCACTAATTTTTACACATAGCAATAACATCATATGTCATGGATAGTTGCAATAGTCAACTGATTGTCGACTAATTTTTTAAAAAAATTAAATGAGCATTGAAGTTGGAAGTTGTGGAATGTTAAAATGCGTCAAATTTTCTTCAACAAGTTCGAGTTTGAAATGCTTTAATGAGGAGGAATGAGAAACTTAATAAAATTCTAAATTCATTCACTAAAATATTCCGAAAAAATTAGGTGTTAAGCTTTTGGTTGAAATGGGTAATTTCCAGAGATCCAACCATCCAGTATTTTTAAAGCCATAAAATGATCAATAAATGACAATCACGTCCATAACACATACTCTAAGATGCACTGTTTATTTGAGTAAAAAAAATAATTATCAAGTCACAAAAAAAAATCTCCAATAACTTATCAAGTGTCGAAAGTAAGCCAAAATTACTAATACTTCATATCGAACCAAAGCCAAGTTGCTGTCCACTGTTACAGCATTTGCATAAAATTGTAGCAGTTACTGATCACAAAGTTGAAAATCTCTCATTCAACACACAAACAATTACTTTTAACAATAAAATAATTCCTTGTTGAAAGTAATTGTTTGTGTTTTATATATTTAATTTCATTACCTATACAAATACAATCGTACCAATGTATACTTCACACGTCAAAATACGCCGTCTATGACAAGTGCAATAGTCATCGAAGAAATTGACTAGGAAGACTTGTAGCTTGCTACTCCACATATGTTTCAGTCAAAGAGTTAGTGGCTCCTTGTCACTAAATTTGCTAGCGCACTATAAGTAAAACAAAAAGATTCACGCGACACTTGTCACAACTTTAATCAAATATTAGACATGTCTTGTAAGAGTAAAGCAAAAATTCCACAATTCAGTCCTTCAGGTATCGGTCAACGTCCAAATCGAAGTTATCTTTCATTGGGTTGCAAAGCCAGATTTCGTTTGAATGCTGACACAACAAATGGTTGTCTTCGAATTTCATCATTTCACGGAGAGCACAATCATGACAATACTGAAGAAGACTACTTACGTGTCATAAACAAAAGAAGACGAAACGTAACTGGTGAGTTCATGGGTTTTCCGATTGAATCTATCCTTTATCTGTCACTGAAATTACGCCATTGTCAATTATAGAAATTACAGGTGGTTCCGCATTGAAGGTTCTGAAAGAAGAAAAGACAGGAGAAACAGGCAAGTTCTTCTATTGGTTCTTTTCAACATATTCTGTTAGATGTCAACAAATGATACGGTAATATCATTATGCTATTTTAGGCGAAACAACATTGGGATATGAATACATTGGAGAAACAGCACCAGATGTAAATGAACATACAAATGCTCGCGAAGTTACGGAAAACAATTTTGCCCCTTTCATTTTAACCTCAGAAAATCATCTCACTATTGCTAATTCATCCCAAGAAAACTCCACTTTGGTTGTTTCATCCTCAGGAAATTCCGCTCTTCATGTTTCATCACAAGAAAACTCAACATTTGTGCCAGTTACTCGTTCCGCAGAAGTAAGCATACAACTTTATACTTGAAAAAAGTCTACGAAGGATGAAAAAACATTAGAAAAGGTGACATTTTCAGATGACAGAACAGGATGATGAAATACAGCAAATGTCACAACAGAATTTACTACCGATAGGTTCTGTTCTGAGGCAAATATTCGCAGCTCAGTTATTGGATCGATTTCAACGCATAGAATATTTGATTATGAACGGTTCGTCTTCCGCCTCATAAGCGTATATTCCCCGTGATGTTCATTTGATGCCATTTGAGCTGTTTATGATTTCTGAAATGAAATAACTGAAGACATTAATTTCAGTTGGCGGACAGTCGTAAAAATATCTACGATTAGATTGTGTTTTTGCGTCATCTATCATTGAGGAATCTCATATCTAAACATTCATTATATACGGAATTCCTTTTTTTTTCTGGCCACTTTAATTAGAGTCCAATTTAGCTTATATCATTAACTGTGGACGATGTCTGCCACAGAAAGTGTACTTACCGTTTGTCTTTGGAGTATATGGCGCTGATTATCGCTTATTAGAATGGTCGGACGTGCAACTACGAGATGTTATGATCGTACTTCTACAACCACCAGAGATACTGCTTCAAGGAAAATTACCAAACGATATTTCAATAAATGAAGTAAAATGGGTTCGACCACCACGTATTCAGCGTGCGATTGCGGCTATTAGAGAGGAAAAACTGAAGGTAAGACTATTAATTGACACTAAATCCTGATAGTGTGATGCGTAATTGCGTCAGTGGACAGATCAGGACAGATCTGAGTAATATTACCGTATTTTCCTTTTCCTTCATCGTTCCATTCATCAGCATGCAATCTTTTGCAGAGATGTGACAAAATTTTTGCGCCACTTGTCCAGGATATTTTTAATGCCACCTCTCGACATGACTTCTTAATGGCTGTTCGAGAATTCAAAAAGTTTGTTGATGATGTAAGAAATATGAGTGTCGACAATATTAATTAAATCATGTGACAAGAACAAACTGCAATGCTGAATTATAATAAATATTGATTGGATATAGGCTTTGTACTGATCGCGTTTTTGTATTTTATTTTACTTTTTTGTATTTTTTTTTACATCTTTTTTACCTTTTTCTTTTACTTTGTATTGTTTGCACTTCTGCGATAATGGTAAAATGGTCTTAAGCCATTATAGAAGCTAGAAGTCATGTTTTCTGTTGCTAGTCGCATTTGCACAAAGATTCTGAATGGGTCTTTCTTATTTAAAAATCTTTTATCTATCGTATTTCATGCAATTATAATTTTATTTCTAACTAATTCATTGTTGAGCACACCTAGTAATGATTAAAATCATGTGATTGTCATAATTTAATTGTATCCTGTTTTCTTTCCATTCGATCATTACCCGTCGATTTGCTTGCTTCATTCTTTTGAATAATTTTGGGCATCCGAATGAGATAAATAGTGTTACTGTTTTTATTACTATTAATTATACATTCGTAAATATTATATGAAACTGAAATTCGATCAACTCACTGCTATTTGCAGCATTGAAATAGTGTGATGATTGAAATTAAAGGGATATCTGCTGCTCTGCAATTGTAAAGCGGAAGGAATGGAAGAAA